GAAATTAATAACAACCGGCCTAGATTGAGAAGTCTTACTTTGTGACTAATTTCATTCTCTAAGAAAATCAAAACCAGGAACGGTAACTCAAGCAAGTGCAGTCACGAAAAATAACTTTTAGAGTCATAAGAAATAAAGTTGGATTCAAAAAACCCTTTAAAAAAACCTATGCCTATATCAATAAAGGCTGTATCTCCTATTTTGAAAAAGATCAATATAGCAAATTTTAAACAATATATATATATATATATATATATATATATATATATATATATATAGTTTATGAAAAACAAGGTAATCCGTATGGGTAGACCCAAGGAGGATAAAATCCAGAGAGCTCAATGTAAATCCAGAGCAAATAATTTAAATAAAAACAGACCACTTTAAGGTTGCATGTAATAAATTATTTCACCACAGCCCTTTTAAAGGACTGCGAATCATCAGACTTTACTTCCAATGGTTGAAACGAAAAACATATATATATGCAGAAATATAGTTTTAAAGTGTGCTATATTTATGGGAAAAGGTGCTCAATATCAGAGATAGAGCGTATGTAAAAATATATATAAAAGTAAACATAGAAGTCAACACTCAGAGGCGACAGGCGGCGTGACGATTGCGTCTAGCATGAAACAGCCTGTCGCCTCTAAGTGTTGACTTCAATGTTCACTTATATATATATATATATAATGAATACAAAATCCTTTAAAAAAACTGTCAGGTCAAGTTATAATTTATTTCGTGGACTTCAAACGTGATGGACGTTTGATGTCTGGGAAATAAAATTATAACTTGACCTGATAGATTTTTAAGGATTCTGTATTCATTATTATATTGCTTTGTTCTTACATTGAGCGCTCTTTAGATTTATATAATACTAATCATTAAGTGATATTATATATATATATATGTGTGTGTGTGCGTTCGCGCGCGCGCGCGGGGGCGTGTGTCTCTGGAGACCAAACTGACAAAGTCGGAAAAGTTTTCGGATGACGTGTTTCGTCCTTCTGCACTTCATCGGGCGGATGCTAGGAAATTTAAATGTTTTTTTTTCTTTTTAATCTAGCCGATTTCATTTAGGAAAAAAAAACAGCCAAAAAACAAAAAAAAAACATTTTAAATTACCAGTATCCGTCGTTTGCTCGCATGTGTCGTCGCAATCGCATCAATATAACAAGTTTATTCCGATGAAATCCTGAAGGAAGAAAACGCGACACAAGTAAACCTTTTTTTCCACTTTGTCATACATTGTTCCATATATATTATTCCTGATATATAAAATATATATCGTTATTTCATATATATATATATATATATATATATATATATATATATATATATATATATATATACATGCATGTGTGTGTGTGTGTAAATGAATAAATCAGATAAATCCTAAAGAGCCAGGAACAACATAACCTAGGAACTTAAGTAGGTTGTTTCTGGTATTTTAGATTTATTCCATTTATCCTTGCTCTACTTAGCGCATTGAGCATTCTACGTTTTTTAGCTTTATTACACTTTTTTTCACTTTGGACTAAAAACTTAAGGCACTGGACGATTTATTTTTTCCACGGGTACCAGTTTGTTTTGATAGACTTACTAGTTGTGCTATCCGAGGTTTTTTTCCAACCGAGTACTACTACTACTACTACAACTATAATAGTATATATATTTATATATATATAGTGTATATATATATATAGTATATATATATATATATAGTAGTAATAGTATATATATATATATATATATATATATAAATATTATTTTGTCTTTTTTTATATATATATATATATTTATTTTGTCTTTTTAATATATATATATATATATATATATATATATATATATATATATTTATTAAAGACATTTTATTATGTTTAACGTTGTTATTTTATAGATACAAGTATTTAACAAATGCTCTGTTTATGATAAACAGTATTAAATAACATTTACCGGCCTGAATGTCTGAAAATTTTCATGAAAATATTCGTTCTTTGACAGGATTCGGAACTTGCATCCTATACGGAACCGTCATATACGCTGACGTGCCTTACCGTTAAGCTACAAAGAAGCGTTCGGTAGACAAGGTCGAATTTACTGCTTATAAACTCCAATTTTCCATAATCTCATACATTCATAACTGCTCTGGCGTATCGAATGTAAACAAATGACGTCATATATTAAGAAATGGACAAGGTCCGACAATTTATTTATAAAAGACATTTTATTATGTTTAACGTTGTTATTTTATAGATACAAGTATTTAAGCAAATGCTCTGTTTATGATAAACAGTATTAAATAACATTCATGGAAAATTGGAGTTTATAAGCAGTAAATTCGACCTTGTCTACCGAACGCCTCTTTTGTAGCTTAACGGTAAGGCACGTCAGCGTATATGATTTGTTCCGTATAGGATGCAGGTTCGAATCCTGTCAAAGAACGAATATTTTCTATGAAAATTTCTCGACATTCAGGCCGGTAAATGTTATTTAATACTGTTTATCATAAACAGAGCATTTGCTTAAATATTTGTATCTATAAAATAACAACGTTAAAATATAATAAAAATGTCTTAATAAATAAATTGTCAGACCTTGTCCATTTCTTTTAATATATATATATATATATATATATTTCCACCAGTAACGCAATACTGTGTATATATATAGTGTATATATATATTTATATATATATAGTAGTAATATATATATATATATATATATTACTTTGTCTTTTTTTATATATATATATATTTATTTTGTTTTTTAATAAGTATATATATATATATATTTCATCAACAGTAACGTAATACTGTATATAGTGTATATATACTGTATATATATATATATATATATATATATATATATATATATATATATATAGTATATATATATATATATATATATATATATATTATTTTGTCTTTATATATATATATATATATATTTATTTATTTTGTCTTTTTAATAAAGTATATATATATATATATATATATATATATATATATATATATATATATATTTCCTCACCAGTAACATAATACTGTTTCACGCACAATGCAATCCTCAAGTGTTGATTGAAAAGTGACTTTTGAGTAATGCTAGTGTAGTTGTCCATTTATTTATGGGGTTAATAATAATAATATTAATAATAATAATAAATGCACATAAATTATTATATATTATAAATAATATATGATAATAATAACAATAAATACATACCTTCAAACGCAAATATATAACTCTCCCATATAAAGTTTTAAATATAATACAAATATGTACACAAATATCATGACATATCCACATATACAAATACATACATTCACATTTATATAGATATATAAAGGTATACATATAAAAATTTATTAATATTATCGTTCTGCATATGTATTATTATTATTAAAACGGTCAGTTTTCAATCAGCACCTGACGATTGCATTGCGCATGAAACTCAGTGTTATGCTACCGGTGGAAAAAAATGTATTGCGACTGACAATTTCACACTTAGTGATCTAGACCTTCAGATGCACCTATTGATATATATATATATATATATATATATATATATATATATATATATATATATATATATATATATATTATTCTCTCTTACATTGAACTCTCTTTGGATTAATGTCTTCCTTGGAATTATCCTGCAAGTACAAATTGGTATTACATATATATATATATATATATATATATATGTTAGTTCAAGCGTTATTTTTAGTGGATATTCGTATTTGAGCAGACGTTCCGTTTTTTTTTAAACAGTATTTATTCTGTCTTCACACTCGAGAAAACTTAATAAAGAAAAAGTGCCCTACGGCAGAATTCAAATCTTCGTCCCCTTTTGCAGGGGCAAACGACTGTCTGATCCGGTGCGCTTTGACCGATCAGCCACGGAGAGCTTCACAGATAAGTTAAAATACATTCACTTGTTCAGATTTTCTCGAAAGCCGTATTTGATCAGTTTCGTGCTCGAAAAGTAAATAAAACAACTTCTAAATAATTCATGGATAATTCATGGATTTTGACTTTTTTTAATCCGACATTTCAGTAATTTTTTATTTCAAATATTATTTTTAGCAGATACTCGTATTTGAGTAGACACCCTGTTTATTTAAACAGGGTTTATTTCGTCTACGCTCATGCACTTTATATACAGGGCATATCGACGTGGTGTAAGGGTTAGCAATCTTGTCTCTCTAGAACAATTACGACTGAGAAGTGAGTCCGATCCTCACTGGGTTCCCTTATTTTCGGCTTGGATAATCACTATACAAATATAAATATGGATAGATAGAAAAAATATTGATACACACAACATACGCAATGATGTCAATGTTATTTGTTTTGTGCACATTTTCCGTTTGCTTCAATGTTTCTTGTTTATTTACTATTTTTTCAGCATGTCATTCTTATATATATATATATATATATATATATATATGTGTGTGTGTGTGTGTGTGTGTGTGTGTGTGTGAAAATTCCGGTAGAAATAAAATATACCTGTAAGAAGACAATATGAGTAAAGACAAAAGAAAAGCTTTTCTTTACCAATGTGTTTCGTCCACT